AATTGAAGGCCGAGTAATCATTTTACCTTGCATGCATGCACGACATAATTCCATAGAGTCTACATCTAGAGGCTTTAAATTGTGCCCAGTTATACATGGAATGATCTTTCTAAATAATGTGGATCTTGGATGTCCCAATCGTCTATGCTAGAGAGAAACATGACTCTCTAAGATAGATGATGCAAAATTAAATATAATAGGAGGCTGAATCACAATTTGGTATAAACCATTTTCTGTAGCAAAAGCTTTTTCAATAACTTTATGGTTCTTCGCAAGAACCAAAACTTCTTTTCTATTTAAAGTGGTAGTCGAGAAGTGATAACCATTAATATGCACATCTCGGTAGCTAATCAGACTCCGAGGTGTTGAGGGTGCAAACATCGCATGTTTACATTTTATGATAGAACCCGTTGTTGTGATGTAACACAGATAACAAGTGAAAGGGTGAAAAAAAAATATCATGTTTGAGGATCTCACTTCAGAAATATTGTAGCAAATTATCTTGGAAAAATAGATATTAGTCAAAGGGTAGAAAAATTAAAGGTGCTAATGCTGCCTTTTTACAAATTATACTTCTATTTACTTTATAAGGCCATAAATAAGACAAAACAAGGTAGATTAGAAAAATAAAGGTTATAGGCATATGTAGGAAAGAGTTAGGAGTGCAAATTTGTAAAAATTATCTCATGAAGACAAAAGATGTTACCCGAAGAGGACCGGTTATGAACCTGGGTCGAAACCAGACCCTAAGGCACAAAACCGTGCTCTTACGGCGACTTGAGGACTCTTTGGCAAATCGGAGAGTAGTGTTTGATAGAAGATTGAATAGGGTTTCTATGGGTGTTGATTTTGGGTGATTTGGATCTGTATTGACTTTGTAATAGCTTTGCAAAGTTAAGATTTGTTTCGGATGATTTGGGTTTTATGAAATAAAATAGGGTTTATGTTTTCAGTGATTTCAAGAGTTTTGATGTAGATCTATGGGTGGAATTTTGTGGATTTATGGTTCTAGTTGTGTTTAATATGTGTCGTGAATTTAAGCTCGATCTAACGGTTAAATTGAAGGATATTGAGGTTTAAGTGAGTCAATGTCTCAGAAAGTAGAATTTTAGGTCTAGTGAGGATTTTAAAGATTTCTTGCAATCTACTAGTTGGATTGGAGTGAAACTTACATGAAAGGATATTAGACTTATTTTTCTATGCGTATGAGAATTTTGAGATCAATCAAACATTGCAAACGAGAGATATTGGCTCTGGAAGGTTGGCATCAAGATTGGAGAAGAAGGCCGGCCAATACCCGAGCACATTTTTGAGGATATCGTCAATTTGGTAATTTTGATCCTTATCAATTTTTTTTGTACTTGTGTTTAACTTATTTTTTTAGAAGTGTGCAAAATTTGAGTTAAGATCAACGGTTTATTCATTAGTTATTGAGGTTTAAATCTGTTGTAGGAATTATTAGGATTTAGTTTAGGATTTGGTTAGGATTTGGTTTGGGGTTTAGGATTTGGATTAGGGTTTGATTTAGGGTTTAGGGTTTGATTAGGGTTTGGTTTAGGATTTGGTTTAGGATTTAGGATTTGAATTAGGGTTTGGTTTAGGGTTTGGTTTAGGATTTAGGATTTAGATTAGGATTGGTTTAGGATTTGGTTTAGGGTTTGATTTAGGGTTTGGTTTAGGATTTAGGGTTTGAATTATGATTTGATTTAGGATTCAATTAGAATTTGATTTAGAATTTAGGATTTGGTTAGGATTTGATTTAGGATTTAGGATTTTATTAGGATTTAAGATTCAATTAGTTTTGCTTAAAGTTTGAATGAAGTTCAATAGGATTTTAATTAGAATTAAATTAAGATTGAATTGAGATGTATTTGAATGACATTTGTGTTCTTTCTAATATTTCTTTAAAAATTCCTATTATTTGTTTGAAATTTCTTTGAGGTTTTTTTGAATTTGATTAAGCTTGCTTAGCATTATTATAGTCTAATTAGAGCATTGTTAGTATTCTATTAGAATTAGGATTTTGTTATTACAATTTCTATTATTCCTTCCATAGCCAGGTGCCCGGAGCATTTTCAAGCAAGACTTTACATATTATGACACCGCAGGTAATTTTACCATCGTTGTGCCCTCTTAGAAACAAAACGCATTTGCTCCAGCCATGGTTATCATATTTTTCGTTTGCCAAGTTGAAGATTTTTCAATAAAAAATCGTCTATCTTGCAAGGTTGTATGTGTTGTTGCAGAATCAATGAGCGCATCATTTGATTCATCATTAGAGGTTCTATCATTCATATAAGCCTCTAAGTCATCAACACCAATTGAATCCATGGACGCATCCATGGTATGAACTTCACGAGCCTCAGCTCATAATTTCTTATTTTCTTGGAACATTTTAATAAAATATTTTGAAGTACGACATGCATGTGCTAAATGTCCAATCATTCCACACTTATGGCAAGAATGCATCTCTGATTTTTATTTTCTACTATAGTTAATAGTAGAATGTTTATTCTTTCCATATGGGTAGAAATGGTCTTGACTATGACTACCTTGATACTTATGAGCACGTTTCCCATGTTTATATAATTTCTTCTTAGACTTTGAAATATTAAGTGCATGAGATTCTGGAACTGTAGTTCCAATAGGCTTCTGCATTGTGCAAGAGTAGTTCATTTTGCTTCTCCGCAAGAAGTAGATAGGACATGAAATCAGAATGACTCTGAAATTTCATGTTGCTGTATTGTTGTGCAAGCACAGCAGATGCAGGAGGAAATGTAGAGAGAATTTTCTCAATCATTTCTTCTTCAGAAATGCCTTGTCTACATAATCGTAATTGTGAGACAATACTATACATTTCACTATTGAAAGCATTTAAATTTGGAAAATCCAAGACACGTAAATGTGTCCAATTATGACATGTACGTGGAAGAAAAATGGTCTTTTGATGATCAAACCTAGATTTAAGATTCTTTCAAAGTTCTGTAGGATCTTCCATTTCCAAATATTGATGTTATAATGCAGGTACAAGATGACGACGAAGGAGAAGAAGTGCTTTTCAACGAATAGCAGGAGGTATAGAGATACTTGTTATAGGAGATTCTTCAAACATAATGGCATGTGAGAGTTGTTCTGCAAATAAATTTGCTTTTGCCATTTTTGCCCATAATAGATAATTGTTTCCATCCACAGTCAATGGTGGAAATAAAAGAGCTTGAAAATGTTGAAATGCACTGGTAATAGTTGGAACCATAGTAGAAGCAGTTGAAGATGTTGAAGCACTCATTATAAATAAATCTGTAAAGAAAATACAAGATCAAGTAGAAAAGTTGAGTAAAACATACCTTAAAATATAAAATCAAATAAAATGATAAACTTGAAAAAAAAAAAAAAAAATTATATAATTTTTTTTTTTTTTTTTTAAGAAGAAAGAGTTGTAGATTAAGGCAGCAGAACAGCAATAAAATGGCGGTAGCAAGCAGCGGCGGACAGGAGCGGCGGGCAACGGCGGGTAGCAGCGGCAGGCAACGGCGGGCGGCAACGGCGGGCAGCAGCGGACAGCGGCGACGGCGACGGCAGCGGCGTTAGAGCGGCGACAGCGGCGGGCGGCAGCGTCAATGGCGACAGGGTGGCAGCAGTAGTTCGACGTCTGTTCGGCGGCAGTTCGGCGGCAGTTCGGGTCGCAGGAGGGAGCAGGGAGCAAGCAGAGGGTGGAGTTGGGCTGGATTTAGAGCAAGAAAAGCAGAGAGTGGAACAAGTGCTCTAAGCAAGCAGCTAATGTGTGAGGGGCCAGCAAGAAGAAACAAGATCATGACCCAGACACTGAGCAAGGGTAGCAACAGGTTTGAAGAGTCAAAGAGTAGAGCAAAAAATTGTGATAGTGTGTAGAAGAGAATAGTGCTGATACCTGTTGAGAATGTTTAGAAAGACACAAGAGTAATAGTAAGTCATACACACACATAAGAGTAGTAGTAAGTCATACACACACAAAGTAGTAGTAAGTCATACACACACATAAGAGTAGTAGTAAGTCATACACACACAAAGTAGTAGTAAGTCATACACACACATAAGAGTAGTAGTAAGTCATACACACACAAAGTAGTAGTAAGTCATACCCACACAAGAGTAGTAGTAAGTCATACACACAAGAGGGTTTCTAAGGAGAGAGCTTCACACACACATCTATTCATCTGGTTGTGTCTAGTATACAAGAAGAGAAAAGAGGAGAGGATGAACAGTACTTCTCCACTAGACTCTAAATACTGTAGCTATGGTAATTACTATAGTCTACAGTAAATATTATGGAGAGCGCCGGCTACATTTAATGATCTCAACACTTAGTATTTCACTTCCATTAATACAAAAAACTACATATTCTGTAAGTATATAATATGTGCAAAATGAAGGATTCAAGCTTGCACAATCTAGCTAAGGAAAAATATTCCCTAGACCCATCTTCCCAACCCATTGTAGATCCTACGGGAAGGGTATTCCACAATGGTGAATTTAATTCAAATATGCAGTACTTAAACACCACCTAAAGAGCACTCTATAAATATATTTTTTAGACATAAACTTTAGCTTAAGTTTAACAAATCAAATGTATGAGCAATGAAATAGCAAAAAATTGTTGGCTCTTAATAACATCAGGATGCTGGATAGTTAACATGATAGTAAGTTAAATTAACAAGGTCGATTACCTTTTTGGTCCAGATTGAATAACAAGGCGCAAACCTGATTTCGGGTGTTGCCAGATAACACAACTTATGCTACTGGTGCACTGTGATATTGAAACTCCACAAACTACCCAGCCACTGCAATTGAGTCTGAACAGTTGCCTTGTCAAAATCTTGACTTCGTGCACATCTTGCGCATGACTGGTCCAAGGTTTACCCTTGTGGTTGACAAGATATTGTATTCAAATTGTGACATCTTGCCAACCATAATATAATGATCCACCATCAAATAAAAGAGAAGGTGCTGCTATGAGACACTGATGATGTAAGACATAATATTGGTCTGTTACCAACCTCAAAGTAAGGTGTGATCCATATAATTGATATGACAACTCTTTTGACAAATTATGGTCCTTGACCATGCTGCTTTGGTACTTCCCAAATTTCTGAGTCCACTAACGTATCAAAAATGATTCGAATTTTTTTTTTTTTATCCTGATCGCTATATCATTCGTCCCTGTGACCACACACATCATCAGGTTAAATACGAAATATTTCTTTACTGAGAACTTGCATATGAACTGTGATAAACCAAGCGAATCGGCATCAGTAATAATAGATATCATCTCTTACTTTGCAAATTACACAGTTGCAGAGCAGCCAAGTGGCAACACAGAATCTGTCCATGCATGAAAACCAGAATCATAGAGAGACTCTTACTTCTGTTGCATTCCCTCGCCAACCTCTAACCTCAGGAAATTGCTGATATGAACACGCCTCCCGGTATGTTTATGGTGGTCATCGAGAACAGCCTGATTACCATACCGTTCACATTCAGTATTGAAACAGCGTGGTATTCCAACGATGATGATCAAGAAACGCAAGTACTCAGCGTCCCATAGAAGTCCCCAGACTGAAAATAGTTGTACAAGGTCAAGCAACCTGGACTAATTGGTTTCTGCTTAAGTCAACTCCTATTTCAATAAAATCCAACCCAGTTTCCAGCTGGTCCCAAACTACCTACACACATGCTGGTGAGGAAATGCTTTGAATAAACCAAAATTCAGCTACTACTGAGTTAGCATCAAAAGCCATGATAGATAAAAAAGATGCAACAAACGTATGTGGACTTACCTGAACATTCATGGAATCGTTGACCACAAATTTCTGTTCCAGAAGAACAGTCTCTTCAAAATATTTGCGAAGCCGACCCTGCACCATCTTGTCTACCACGTTGGATGGTTTTCCTGATGATAATGCCTGCAAAACTTGTCGATAACCTGGTTACTTACCGGCTAACAAACTTGGCAGCTCAAGAGCTCGAACAGGAGTTATTATATTTCAATATATCCAGCATGTGAAGAAATATAGATGATTATTCATGATGCGGTAGGTAATGTAGAAAAGTAATAACTGAAGAATTGTCGACTATCTTGGAGGCTGCAGGGTTTATGTAAAACCAATTGCATGATTTGAGAAACACCTATGTAACTTCAGAGAGACCCTAAATTTGCAGTGGACGAAGTAATACCTGAGACCGAAAAACATCCGTCTCACGATGAAGATAAGTTTCAGGTACAAGCTCCCTAGATAAAAAGAGTGGCTTGGCTGCAACAACATGCATGGCCAAAGCTGATCCAATTTGTGCCTCAGCATCCTGACCTTCCAAAGTTCCATGCTCTGGCTCAAGCGTAACTAGACCCACAACCCTTGCAAGCCCTGTCACAAGCAGTATCACCACGTCATGAGACTATGTCAGCAAAGATCATGAACCAAAGAACTAGAGACCATATATGATAAATTTAGATAACAAAAAGATCTGAAAAAATACTGCAAATGTCCATCCCAAGGTAAAATCTACCTAAACAGATAATACGGGTTAATAAAATAATGTACAATTCTAGGCTAGGTTACTGCGTTAGGACCATGGTAAAAGTGGTAAGTCTTACATTAGAAACCAGTAAGACAAAAGCAGGCTGAAATCCAGTCAAGTGCATGAATCCCCGGTTTCAGAACACTTTGCCTATAGATGATAACCTAAACGGTGCATTGATTTAAAAAGTAAAGTACCTGCTGGAGACCCAGGATGAAACCCAACCCTTGACATCCTAAACCTAATGGTTGGTGGTAATGGTTATAAGAGTGAAGACGTGCTATAACATTCCATCTCTGCTGGAATTGGCATTGACGAACCTGGATCTGCAGATGCGTGTAAATATGAAGACACAATGCCCGTTTCGGATGATATAAAAAAACCCCTCCGGAGCCGCACATTCTCGCCCATGATGGCTGCTACCTCTGTAACAGCTTCCTTTACAGTTGATTCGCCACTCAATTTCTCATGCTCCAGCTTGAGTTTTACTGCCTGACACAACACAAACACATTAGACCAAAGCTTAAACCCTAAACCCTAAAACTTACAAGTATGCTTCACGTAATCTTTCACATTTCAAAACCAAACTAGGCGTTCACACCGGAACCATTTAAAAGAAACACTCACCTCCAACGCAGATAGATCCAACGCCGTTGCACTGCCTTGTTCAGATTTTTGTGCTTGCAAGCTGAGCGCTGATTTTGCAACTCTCGTAGCCTAGTAAGAAGCGACCAATTCAATGAGCACTCTATGTGAACGGCTCAGAATCAAGATATGAACCACAGCCAATTCTGATTTCAAAGTAAACGCTTCAAGAATCGAGTGACCAACATTCTGGCCCCAACATTGCGTCCGATGCTAGAACGGTATTTCAGATAGAATGAGCGAAAAAATGTACCAGAACGCTGATTCACTAGAAGCTATAACCAAACCAATCAATACATAAATAAATGAGGATTTCTCACGAGGTGGCGAAACATTTCGTTTCGAGCTACGAAGTCAGTCTCAGAATTCATCTCTATGACGGTAGTGACCCCCTTGGCATTCGCCACGGCAAGTAATCCGTCGGCCGCCACTCGATTTTCTTTCCGTCTTGCGGCGGTCAGGCCCTTCTTTCTCAATTCCAACATCGCAGACTCTGCAACCCAACATCCGATCTTCGTATAAATAAATCAAATACCATCACGCCTCTGCTTGCGAATCAAAATAAAAAGGCAATTATGCGGAAAAATCATGAAAGCACTCCATCTCGTTCACAAAACAGACCGGCATCCCATCCGCACTGAAGCAGAGCTGCCTTCACATCCTTGATGGGCGCGCCCGTCCTCTCTCGCAACGCCTTGATCTGCAACGCTGAATCCGAGCTAAACCCACGAGTAAAACGCGACTCCCCTACTGCACCGCTCCCCGCGACAGCATGGTCTTTAGACATCACCGAGAACAACTGCCTCACCAAATACGGATGCAACGACGCCCTGCGCACAGAATTGCAAGCCATCTCAGCCGCCGCCTGCATTCGCTTCGGAGTTCGTCCTTCCCGCGCTTCTCTACGAGTAAATCGAGATCAACTCTGGGTGTCTGTGTTGCAATCTGTGAGGACGCAAGGCAGTATAACGGCACTTGTCGATGTTGAACGATGATCCTCTTGTGCCGTCAGTTTCATGACTCAACGATGCAGCTCTCCACCGAAATGCCCTTCGCAGCGCCGTGCGGCCAAGATCAGAAGGGGATAATTTTCACTCTTGCGATTCTGTTCAATTTCATGAATTTCAGATGTTTAATTTATGACTCGGAAATTATGACAGGGCAGTTGAATTAGAACTCCTCTTAGGTCACGAAGCAACATTCATCCAAGTTTGCAATCATGATCTTTCGGTGTGTCTTTGCTGTGTGGTCCGTAACAAGGCATTGTTCGAAATGGCAAACGAATCTTCTCGTAGTGGTTTGTCCTCTTCAGAGAATGTCACTCTTGTGTGAAGATGCATTTTTATTGGCAAGGACGTGTCCACACACCCAGAGTGAACGCTTGAGAATTGTATCTTTTAATCTTTTGGGTTAGCAAAGGCTAAACCCTAAGTCCCACCTTCCCCTGCTAAAATTTCCACAACAAATTGTGCTTTGAGTGCTCCTCCCTGCGCATTGTATACACTGACGCGCCAGAGGGCTTGATTTACTACTCCTAGCAAAACCGACTCCCGTGCTCTGCACAGTACCCCAAATTACTAACCTTTGTCAAACCAAAAGCGGCTTTCGTGATCCTGCTAATGATGGTGCGTTGCAATCGGATTATCTTGATGTGAAGACCACCTTACAATACAGCGGCAGATGTCTCGCAAGAACCCAACTCCGTAAGTTGAAATCGTTGAGGAACCAGATATACGTAAATGTGAGTAGAGGTTATGACTGCAGAGTTGCACTTACTCCAGAAGATTACACGAGAGTGTTTTCGGCTAAAACACAAAAATCTAGTTGCTATGACGAAGCTTTGTAAGCTACAGGACAGCACAGAATCGCTTTCGCTTGCAAGGCTTGGGTCATTCAAATGAAACTTTCAAATCAAGTGCTCTGAAGGGATTAGACTAGCTTTGCCAAAAATGAAGCTCTTAAGCATTAACAATCCTGGTAATGACGGTATGAAACAGAACTCACACAATGAGTGACAATTACAACTGATATACATTCTATATAGTCACATTTCAGTCTAACAATGCTCATGGTGGTGACGGTTACACTAAAACCTCGTAACCTCTCCAAATTTTACTGAAAACTAACTACACCTTCACACACTAATGCCGAGGATTTATAAGCTTTCTGAAAGGGACCGATGCTCAGCAATTCTCGCGGAAGAAAGAGGTAACCCTCAAATACTCTTCATTCAGCTTTAATGACTGTCTTCGGCACAGCACTGATCTTCTTCCATGAGACAGCCGGTAAAATTTGGTCCATGTCTACGCGATCCTTGTATTGCACAGCCACGTTGAGAAGAGAGTCGAGGAGAGCATCACCAAGATAATGTGGCTGTAGTCCAAGCTCCACTAGCTTAGTATGTTTGGCATTGTAGTAATGCTCTTCCGCTTCCACACGTGGGTTCGGAACACTCTTGGTTTGCACCTCAATCCCAAGCTTCTCCCCTGCTTTCGTCACCAACCTCGCCAAGTCATTGACGGAAAATTGTTCCGTGAATTGGTTGAACACGCGAAACTCACCCGGATTCGCAGGATTGTTGCACGCAATCTCAATACACCTCACTGTATCTCTGATATCCAGATAACCTCTTGTCTGACCACCCTTGCCATACACAGTCAGGGGATGACCGACCGCTGCTTGCACACAGAATCTGTTCAATGCGGTTCCAAAAACACCGTCATAGTCGAGCCTGTTGATGAGCTCCTCGTGTAGGCTAGTCTCGTCTGTGTGCACGCCATACACAACTCCCTGGTTCAAGTCCGTTGCGCGGATTCCCCAAGCCTTGCAAGCGAAAGCAATGTTGTTCGAGTCGTGCACCTTGCTGAGATGGTAGAACGAGGCACCTTGTTTCGGGTACGGCAACGTATCAGTCCGCCCGTTGTGCGTAATAGTGATAAACCCCTCCTCGATGTCAATGTTAGGGGTACCGTACTCGCCCATGGTTCCCAATTTCACCAAGTGGCAGTCAGGTGCAAACTCCTTGATAGCAAACATCACATTCATGGTTCCGATGACGTTGTTGTGCTGCGTGAACACGGCCCTACTTCGATCCATCATAGAGTACGGGGCAGAGCGCTGCTCGCCGAAATGAACCACTGCCTCAGGCTCGAACGTCTTAAACGCATGCTCCAGAAACTCGAAATCACAAATATCACCCACATAGACAGCCAACTCCTTACCCGACACATCTTTCCACCTCTTCACCCTCTTCGACAGGGAAACAATGGGAGTAAGGGTCTGCAAACCAAGCTGCTCGTCGAAGAGCCTCCGGCACATATTATCCACGACCGCGACCTCAAAACCCTGCTTCGAAAGATGAAGCGCACTGGCCCAGCCACAGTACCCATCTCCACCAATGATCATCACTTTCTTCTTCTTCCCTCCTTCGTCACTCCTGGTGCCAGCCACAGGCGCAGCCTCCTTCACACTCGCAGAAGCGGACCATATCAAATTCGACTTCGACCGCGTCGGAAAGCACCTCTGCGCCCGGCTATCCGAAGCACCAAACCCACGAAGGGAAAGATCCGCACGTCGCCCACGATGCGTCGACCTGAAAGCGCCCAGGTTAGCACCCACAGCAGCAGCAGGCACGGGAGCCGCAGCGGCACCCGTGGCGATGCTGGAGGAGCAAAGCATGTTGGAAACAGGTAGAAGGAGCGCCATGACCACCGTGACACCCTTATCCACAGAGCAGCAGCAGTGCAACCCAAAAACAACCAAAGAAAGGCACTTGAAACGCAAAGTGTGCGTCAAAATATGCACCCAACAGACGTCACGCCAACTGGAACGGAACCCAGTGCCGAGCACTCACTCCTCGTCCCCTGTTCGTCGTTTATGTGAAGTGAAGTGAAGTGAAATGAATTAAGTGACTGAGTGAGTGACTGAGTGTTTGTTTCGTTTCGTTTCGTTTCGATTCGGCATATGCTTCGCTGGGATGCTGGTGCTCGTGCTGATAGAGTTGCCTTCGAATCGGCATCCGCATCGGCATCCTGGTGCTGGTTTTAGGTTTTTAACTCGTTCATTGTACTTTTGCTTTTTGTTGCTTTTAGTCGAGACAGAGAGAGTGGGAGAAAGAAGGAGAGTTTTGGTTGTAATTATCTTCAGCTGATTTGGGTATCAATTGGGTTGACAGAAAAGGGTTTAGTGTTAAACTAAACACTGAGATGAGATGAGTAATAATGAAGTATTAGAAAATAAATAAAGGATGGAAGAGGTGAAGTTCAAAGGTTGTGTGAGGTGGAGCTCGAAACTACCTTGAAGTGGGTTTTATTCCTTGTCGTGATTTATGTTAGTCTTGAGTCTTTCTGGTGGGTTTAACACAGTGGTGAGCTTCGATGAAGATATTGTGACTTGATGAACCCCATCATTAATGCTGACTAACTTGGATTAATAAAAAAAAAAGAAAAAAAATGATTGAAATAAAATTTTGCTTTGGTGTCAAATGACATCACAATGATACTAGTTTTGATTTTATATATATGTATATATATATATATATATATATAGGTATTTAGACATAATTTATTCTATTTTTTAAAAATAAAAATAAAACTCTACCTTTTAAAGTAAGAACATAATACTTCAAAGAAGTTTATGATATTGAAATTACATTCATTGTGATAATTTTTTAAAATATTAAATGATCTAACTATTTATCAATAATATAAGTAAAATTAAAAGCTCAAATTTAAGAAATGATTGATCATTTTATTCCAATTTACTTTTTTTCACAAGTGTAACCAAGAATATTCAAAGAAGAGACTATTTATTATGTCCAGAACATTTCTCATTTGAATATCTAAATTCAACTCCTGTACTTTCACCACATTCTTTTTGAATTTTTACTAGGTAGTGGAATGATAATGAGGATTTTTGTGACGTAAGAACAAAGACATGATTATATTAAGAGAATCTAATTTGAACCCTTTGCTTTGATATGCTGAGAACATAAGTTGATCTTAAGCGTGAAAGTTTATTCATTAAAGGTGACTAACAGTATTGCTGTATTGATTTGTTTATAAGTGATTATGGATATTATTATTAAAGCTCAAATCTAAAATATAAGACTTAAGTATGATGACGAAGAAAAACAAAGACAAAGCAAAAAAAACTAAATCTAATACTTATAATTTCTTTTCAAGAATTATCTGAAAAACATTTATTACAAATAAATTAGAAATTGAAAATTCTTGATTTTTTTTCTTAAAATTTGAAATAAATCAAACCACTAAATTCCAATCATACAATCTAAAAAATGTTTAAAAATAAATAAAAATCATGACACATTTTTAATAAAAAGAAGAAAACATATTTACCATTTTATTTTTATTAAGTATTTATTAAATTTAATATTAAAATTGTATTAATAATTTTTTTCTTAAATTTTGATAATTTTTTAAAAATAAATTAAAATTATGATTTTAATTGTCTACTTGATAACAACAATCAATATTTTTTAATATTTTTTGTAAGTATATTTAAATAACATATTCAAAAAATATGTATTTTCAAAATAATCAAAAAAATTATAATTCAAGTATAAAATGAAATAAAAACCCACATACTGAATAGAAAATTTTATACTATTATAATATATATATATATATATATATATATATATATATATTAGTTTCATTAATTTTTAAAACAAAAATCAAAACCTACATAAGATCTAATTATAGTTATATCTTGGCCCTCTTAAAGAACTTTATTCAATCATACAAAATTTGGATCCAAATATCAAAATCATTCAAATCTATAACTTAAACCAATATTCTTATAAAATTAAGTTAGATAAATTGGATTTCTTTTCATATAATAATTATTAAGGGTTATGAGATGCTAGTGATTCATTTCTACTAAATTAGTAGCCTATTGGAATTTATGGCAAAACAAGGTCCAAGTCATAATGGTTTCTATAATTTAATTTATTTAATTTTCAAAATTATTACAAGCCTTGCTGACTATTTAAATTTTTTGTAGCTAATAATGTTTGAAAGTGCTTTAATGGTCTATTTAGACCTTAGTATACAACATTAACTTTAAATATTACATTGATAAAAAAATATTTTGTCAATAGAATCATTTTCGTTAAATACACAAAAAATTGAAAAAAGCCACAAACAAAGATTTATTAGTTTTTACATAGAATTCAAAGCTCTTCTCATAAAATTTGTGGTTTGGGCTTAAGTACTCTAGAAGTAGATTTATTTGTAATATAGCAATTTAAAGCTTGACCAAATTCTATTGTAAGTTTAGTTAGGATTTAGTGATCAATTTCAAGAACCTTAAGATATCATTGCCTTATATCAATGTTGATCTATAATACAATTTAATATTATTGATTTCTGCAAAAATAAATAATTTGAAGATAAAACTTCTACTATAAAGAATTTTGTATATTGACTATAATTACAAGCTAGACTACAACTATATTATTCCAATTAAAATAAAAAGACAAGAATAAAACAAGATAACATAAAAAAATTAAATTTACATAGGTGGTTTAAATAAGATATTTTATTTAATAGAATAACATAAATTATAGGAAAAAAAATAGTCATTTAATTCAAAAAAATCATATATCTATATAACTTCTATTTAAATATGGCGGCTAATCAAATATTAGGCTATTTCAACATTAATGCACAACATAGTATTTTTTTTAAGATCTTAAATTCTTCTTTTTAAGCACAATTTTATATCTATTTTTAATTATTTCATATTAATAGAATCAATGGTTTAATAGAAATTCTAAAACCACAAACAAATCTTGATAATAGTTTGTTGATTATATGAAAGCTTTCAACCATGACATATCGTAAGGAAGAGTGATGTTACAAACTTCCAATAAAAAGATTCAAGAAATATTATTAGAATATTCTATTAGATTTTAGAAGGTTCTAAAAGATTTTTAGAATATTTTAGCAAGTTTTAAAAAGTTTTAGGAAGATTAAGAAAATTGTCTAAAAATCTTCCTAAGGTTGCTTCATTTTTAAGTAACTATCAAAGATATGAATTGAAAGAGGATGTATAAACCTGAAAAATCTATGTCAAAAGAAAAGTGACAAAATAAAAACAAAGTAGTATGTATATTAAAAAGAAATTGGAATAGCTATTGTCAAAAGACATGGAAACTAGAGACTCTTGAATTCAAACTAGAAGTAAGAAAAGAGTTGACAAGAGTGAAGAGGGCTTCATTCTTGCTTCTATATATATTATTTAATTCGGAGCTTTAAGACGATGTTCTATAAGACTTCTAATATGTATTGACTTTACAAGACACATGTCTTAGCTTATAAGGCAAGTTTTCTATGTATGCACCACATAGTTAGCTTATTCTTCAAGCTATCAACATGTATAATATATGGCTAACTTTTTTATTACGTTTTTAACCTAAAAAATCAAATATAGACACTAAAAAGTCAAAGCAACATCTATGAAGCTTCTAAAAAGCTTTTATAGAAGATATTATGATATTAACCTATTTTTATATATTTTTACCTACTTCTATCTAATCATATAGGTAATTATTAGTTTACATGTGTATGTCCATGATATTACCTCCCTTCTAAGGACAAGTTCCACAAGGAGCAATCATCATATGTTGAAGAAATCTAAGATGCAACGAATTGTATTTGCTGCATACTCTGATCTTTGTTATCGTCGAAGATGATTGATAGGACCTCTCAACCATCGATAGTATTTCATATCAAGGCAAAAAGACCACCTAGTTATTTGATCATTGTTGAGGCCTTTATAACTTCCTTCAAATAAAACATTTGAAATATTAACAGAGGTTGTTCCTACTACTAATAAAATCACCAAATGTCATGAGTTCCTTTCAAGGTTGTGATATCAAACGCATTCTATCTCACCATCTATTCGAAGAAGAATATATCATTTTTTAGGATCTTCATCTCAATTGCGTCATCTTGAAGGTTGTAACAATTACAATGTCTTATCTAGTAGGTCAATAAATGAAGGTTCTTGAATCAAATCTATTGGTTATTGATTCTTCATTTTTTTAGTGTCACAAATACAAAGAAGCTACAACAAGGATAAAAAATGAAATGTTATCTTTCCTAAATCTTATTTCTTTTATAGGAAAGATTTTAAAAGATTCCAAAAGATTCTATTAGGTTCTAAAAAGATTCTAAAAGGTTTTAGTAGATTCTAAGAAAGTTTTAGAAGTTCATAGAAGGTTTTAAGAGACTTCAGATGATTTAAGAAGTTATCGAAGAAGGATCTCAAGCTTGCTTTGTTTTCAAGCGTCATGGAAACTTCTCAAGAAGTTTTTTAGGATCTAATATATATAGGAATCAAGGCTGAGAGAATTCTCTATCTCAACAACTCACTTCTTGTAGTCTAGCCAAGACCTTCTTGCCTTATATTTAGTTATTGTTCTAATGTCGAGCTAATTCTATTTTTTGGTCTTCAGTCCTTATCTTATATATGGTTTCTAATATTGATAGCTTATCGAACAAGCTAACTATGTGGCACATATACAAAAATCTTACCTTATAAATTAAGATATGTCTTTAATAAAGTTAACAAGTATTAGAGGTTCTATAGAATATCACTATGTAGTTTTTAGTCAGAATATATATAAAGAGGTAAGAATAAAGTCTTTTTTACTCTTATAAATGCATTTTTAGTCCTTAGTCTTGTTTTAAGACTTGCTACTCTTCTTGTCTTTGGTAATAGCCATTTTGGTTTAATCTCATATCATCTTTAAGTAATTTAGTCATTTTGAATGGCATAAGAATGTTTTGATCTTTCAAATCTTCAAAAATCATCTTCTTGAGAGTTTGATAAGTTTGGTAGCTTATTGTTATTTTCTTATTTTAGAAGTAAGTGAATTATTCTACT